TATAACAGTCATTACATTCATTTTGAAAAGGCCATCAGACATGTAACATTTTCCTACATACATCCCGTTTTTGGTAAGTACAAACTTGTCACTTTCAAAAACTAGCCTAAACCCATTTTTACTCAACAAAGATCCGGAAACAAGATTCTTGCGAATGTCCGGTACATGCAGCACATTGTTGAGAGTGAGTTCCTTTCCAGATGTCATCTTCAGAATAATCTTTCCTTGTCCTTCAACTTTAGAAGTCGAAGAGTTGCCCATAAAAAGTTGTTCACCGTTGTCCACTATAGAATAAGGTGTGAACATCTTTTTGTCGGCACAGATATGGTGAGTAGCTCCAATGTTTACCCACCACTCTTTAGGATTTCTGACAAGGTTTGCCTTGGAAACAACTGCATAAAGATTTATGACATCTACACCATTGGAAATTTATCCACTTCGGTCATATCGGCTTGAGTAGGCTTCTTATTTGATCTTCCTTTGCCTTTGCAAAAATTAGTTCCTAAGAACTTTTTTGGTATTTTACCAAGCACTACAGGAATTTACACATTCGGCGACTAAAAATGCCGACTAACACAAATTTAGTCGCCAAAGATATACACTTTAGCTACCAAAATAAATTTAGTTGCCAAAGATAGGCACTTTAGCTACTAAAAGAAATTTGGTCGGGAAAGGTTCTATTTTCAGCTACTAAGAATTATTTTTTAGTCGGTACTGATGTTACTTTTGGCGACTAATTTAAGTTTAGTCGTTGAAAATAGGATTTTGGGCTGCAAAAAAAAATCTTGGTCCCTAAATGTACAATCTTTAGCTACAAAGAATAATTTAGTAGCTAAACATATTACTTTTGGCGACTAATTTAAGTTTTGTCGTTGAAAATAGGATTTAAGGCTACAAAAAAAAAAAATTGGTCCCTAAATGTACAATGTTTAGCTACTAAGAATAATTTAGTCGCTATTTATCTTACTTCTACCGACCAAACTATGTGGTCGGCAATTGTAATTAAGTTCTGTAGGGAAGATTTCCAATTTTAGAGGGATTCCTAAAATAATTAGTGATTAAATTATTCAGTTCATCGGGAAAAACTAGTTTTATTTCTTTTTGGCAACTAATAGACACTGGTCGGGAAAAAACTAAACCTAAGAAATTAAGTCCAAGGTCGATCTGTCTCTCTCTCATTCATGCCTCTGTGTGACTGTCTCTCTTACTCGTGCCTCACGCCTCCGTGACTCTCTCTCTCTCACTCTCGCCTTTGCCCTCCTCTCTGTCAATTTTTCTCCGTTTGTTACACGAGCACCACCGCAAGGGTTACACGAACACCACAGTCACTTCCAGGTATCTCCTCTATTTCGCCCTCTCTCTATTTGTCTCTATGTCTTCCTCTCTCTGTTTTCCTCCATTCGGAACTGTGAGGCGCCATATGTTGAAGAAGTGGAACAAGTATTGTTCCTTCCATCTCCATCGACCTCTTCATCATAGAGATCTTGTGTATTATCCATCTAATTCACTACAAAACCACACTACACCCAACAATCAAACCACTAGTTTTCGAAGCATTGTCGTTTGGTGATGATGAACAGACCTTGCTGAATTGATTGGAGTTTAATAATCGACCTAGCCCCAAATCGACGCAGCCCCAAGCTTCTTTTCCATACTCCATCTATGAGGATGTTGGTCATGACCCATTAACAAACATAGCATCGATTCCCATTGAGTTCCATTCATTGAATCACCCACAAAAACTACTCTCTTCCCTCTGATCAAAACCAGCATTTTTGTTGCATTGAACCTAAGAAAAATAACAACCTTCTCTCTCTCTCTCTCTCTCTCTCTCTCATTCCTTCTTCTCTCTCTGATTTCAATGGCGTCAGATTGAACACCTCTATTCAGGTACCCCTCTCTCTCCTCCCAATCTAGTTTGGTAGAACTATTGTGCGTTATCTAAGATTGGTGACTGACAGTGATACATATATATTTACTATCAAGAGCACAATGAGTTCGATCTATGTGATGTGTGCATTTATTCAAACATGTTCTGCTTTCCAGGTATATATATCTTTAAACATGTGCTGTGTGATGTGTGCATTTGATCTTTTATCTATGTCATCCATGTGATGTGTGCATTTCATCCATGTGATGTGTGCATTTATTCAAACATGGGTTTGTTTTTTTGTCTTCTTAGACATGGGACTTTGCTTTCCAGGTATATATATCTTTAAACATGTTCTTCATTTCACATCCTCTTCTCTTGTGCAGATCACTCCATTGCATAAACAAGAGAAGGCTGCTCTGCATTTCTCTGGTTGAAGGTATTTCATTTCATATCTTTGAACATGTTCTTTATTTTTGTTTTGTGATTGTTTATTTATTTATATTAATGGAAAGAATATGGAGGTTTTAAATTAGATTTTTTTGGGCTTACCCAGTAAACTGGTCCCATCTGCTAAAACTTTAGATGCATAACCATACACCACTGTCATTAGTTAACTACATAGAGCCATTTAGAATTGCAAAGAATTTCTCCTAATTTACGCTCTCTTTAATTTTAGCAACCAAACATAGCATAATTTGGTTAATCTTCGAATATTTTTCAAGTTTATAATCTTGTTGTTCTGCTTTGAATTCTTCTTGGTTACATGTTTTAGTCGTAGTTGAATTCTTCTTGGTATTTTTATATAGTTTTAGGCTTAACAAGCTCCAAAATGTGTTCAAGATTAGTTTATTTACTTAACAAACTGAGCTCGAACAAGCTTTTAATGAGTTGAACATGAGTTGAGCTTGAGCTGTTTGGTTTGTTTATCACTCACCCCTATTTCAAACATAGCCTAGAAGTTATTACAATTTCACTACTTTAAGCTGGGCTGGTTTGATTTGAAGCAGTGAAAATTTTCTTTTCCCTTTTTTTTCCTCAAACTAATTTATGGATTATTTATTTATTTATTTATATTTTCATTTCTCGTACTGTTTTGTTTGTGCTAAACATTTACAGATAAAAAACTTATATATGTATGCATGAAGATAAGATTTGGTTATCTGCTTGATCTAATTCTGATTTTTATAATCATGTATAGGCAAATGCATCTATTCAATTGAATATGTTGTGAAGAACAATGTTTCTTAACTACAGCTAACCTAGTTTTGGTCATAATGTAGGACTTTATCATTTTAAGGATTTTATTTTCTTCGATAGGATATTTTTGCAGCATCTTTCTACACTATAGATGGTCTGGCAATGGTTTTGTGATGTAGTATTATTGAAAAGTACATAGATGAAACTTTAAATCACACTATCCAAAGTCCAAACCCATACCCTTCCTACAAGAGAATGATATTTATCCAATTGATTCAGTAGAAAGGTTCAAGTTTGTTACCTGAGTGGTTTCTTAAAGAACCATTTGATCCAAGTGTTGCGCATTACTAAGGCCTCGTTTGGAAAGTAATAGTTTTAGCTAAAAATCAAAAAGTTAAATATTTGATTAATTGAATATAGCTGAATATAGCTAAATATAATTGATTAACTGAATATAGCTGAATATACTTGAAATCAAGCAACCCAAGATACAGCTGAATATAGCTTCTGATATTACTAAATATTTGATTACTTCAACCTCCCCACTTGATTAGATACATGATACATCAAGTTTGTATAGGAACACAGTCTGAAAGTTATTGGAATATCCAAACTTCGTATTAAATGCTAAATACTTCCCAAAAAGACTAGTCAAAATTATGGAAGAATGTAGACCAAGACTTGTTAACGGTAGACTGGAAAATGCTATATAAACAATTTTTTTTACAAACTGATGTGGTGTGCAATAATAAAGCATTAAAATTTGAAATGGACCCACTGAAATCAAATTATTGGAACAACTTGACTGCCACACATGGTTTTCTCTTAGTGCACACATCTTTTTAGTTTAGAAATCAACTTCCAAATAAATCTATTTGGTTCAGTTGTATCTTCTAAACAAAACTATTTGGTTCAGTTGTATCTTTTATTCGGAAGTTGATTTCCAAATGAACCTTATTGGTTCGGAAGATTCGGAAATCATCTTCCGAATCAAAATTTTGGAAATTAAGTGTGTGAACTGAGATAATGTGGTGTGTGGAAATAGAAGCTCCCTCAACTCAATTGCTGCATCAATCTATATGAAAAGTTTGTTTGTTAGCACTACTCACTGTAGGTCCTACGCTCAATGATGAAGGGGATGAGGCTTACTGTGACTTGAAATTGTTGTCTGTCTAGAGGTCTTCTCAATGCTGTGCTATCCCCTGCTTTCCTTCCATTAAAAGATTAATCCATCTTTAACAGATTCCATGACCTTAAAAATCTCTTTACTGATCTTTTGCTTAAAAGTTGATGATGCCCTTGTGAGGGAAACTGCAATATCTTTTGATGCTTACTTGAGCTGCTTGGGTTATATATAAAAATCTGTTCATTGTGTTATGATAGATATATAATTGCATGATTTTCTCCTTAAACAAACAATTATTCTTTGTAATATTGTAGCTGATGTACTACTTAACATCAGATTTCCAGTATTTAAATTAACCTCCTACAGTCTGTGGTGTTTGGAAGAAGGGCTCTTACGTTGTCTAGAAAGATTATTTGTGGCTTCACTGAGTCCAGAAGGCTGTTGGTGTCTAGGCTTTGAAATGATTGGGAATATAGAACTCATGAGATTGAGAAACTAACTGATGAATTGCTACTTATGTGGCTTGTAAATTTTTTTTTTAATGGTATTGGCTACAAAGGTTTGGTTTAGTTTGGCCACAAAGCTGGATATTTTGTAGGTAATTTTCTTTCCTTTATAATGCAATTTTTTTTTTTTGCTTGTGACTTTAATTTATCTGAGATTTTGTGTTGTCTTGACATGATTTTTTGATGCTGATAAATATTAGAGGTGAAGGAGTTAGAACCGCAGCAGTTTTTCCTTCTTAGTATATTAGTATGAATTTTAGTGTGAATGAGATTACCTATGTTCTTATTCTTCTTTTTATTTGTTTATACATATTCAATGGATGACACTTTTGCAGAGTTCATTTGAGATCCCTCGTGGCCAAGGTACAGGTGGAGATATTGAAATGGGAAGACATCGTCCAGTGAATTCAGGAGAATTGGGCCTGGATAACTTTTTTAAGCAGGTGACTATAAATTGTTGTCGTTCCTTTGTTGGCCAATCAAGAAGATGATGGCATTTCTTCTTCTGCCTCCTGTTTCCTCCCTTTTATTATTTCCTCAAGTTTCTCTGCATCTGGAATAAAAGAATATGTTTAAACCATCTTTCATCCAATGTCATCAAGCTTGCCTGTTTTGTTCTTTGTTAGGTTCAAGATATTGAGAAACAATATGAGGCTCTGAATAAGCTACTCAAAAAGCTCCAGGTACGTGGGTTTCACATTTTTCTCTTTTCCCAATTATTCCTTGCCTGTGTTGTGATGTTCATTTATTTGTTACACGAACAAATTTTGTGTGTTTCAAAAGTATGCTGTAAGGTACCAACATCAAATTGCACTTGCTGTTTTAAGTTCTTTCAAGTAGGCCCCTCAATAACTTTCAGGAGATGTCCAATGCCTTGGAGGTGATGCTATTTTGTATTTTGACTTCAACTAGTGATAAGACGGATCTTATGTTGATAAACGGGCATCACAGTATCTTCAATGAGCTGTTCGATATGCTCTATTGAAGGTCTTGAGCTTCCATTGCTTACTGGAATCCTTGAGCTGTTTGACTTCAACTAGTGAATTTTTTTTTTTGGCCCTAAAGTATTTGTTTTGTCATTTTCCTTAAAATTAAAATGCTTATTCTAGAAAACTTTTACTTTCTGTTATCTGTTTTACTTTCTCTCCCATGATTATGCTTTTCTCTTCCCATGATTCATCTTTGTTTTTTGACAAGTAAATTTATTAGAGAAAGGCATCAAAAAGCATGGAGATATTTGAACATAATAATGGTATTTTTTTGGTCATCGAACATAATAATGGTGTCATTACAAAGAATTGTAGACATGCTCCAGATTGACAAGAAGAAATGTAAGTGTCCTTGTTATGTACTTTTCTCTTTCTTTCTCTCTGCGTTGGCTATGATGGGGAGTTGGCTAATATTACATAATAATGCTATTAAACCTTAAAATCCAATTATTCAAAAGTTTTGTGGATCTGTATAACTGTGCAGAGTATGTGGATAGAAACCTTCACAGTTTTCCACTGCAGAAATCTTACTGGCCTCGTAGTTACATGTATCTAGATACTTGATCAAGTATTAGTTATTCGATAGCTCTCCATAAGCTTATGATTTTCTATGAGATGCATTTGTAATGCTGCTTGATTCATGATTTATGGAATGCCAACAGGGAGCAGCACATATGGGTTTGTGGCATGTTTTTTTTGAACTGATGTTTCAGTTATTATGGGTTCTTGAAGGACTAATATGTATATATTAATCTATGTTGTATGTACTCAGATTGAACATCAAATAGAGCAACTAGATTCAAGTGTTTGAATTTCCAATTATTATTAGGATTACTTTTATAGCAACATCAATTTATTAGGAACATCAATATATTAGCAACATCAAATAGAGCAACTAGATTCATATGTTGTATGTACTCAGATTGAACATCAAAAAGTTTATTTCATATATATTCGAGTATGCAAAACTAATGATTAATTTGAAAAGATTACTTAATTTCGAGTTTTATATGTTTTTTTAATAATTTTAAATTGGTCAATATTTAGTCAATACTAATGATTATTTTTTATTTTTTATTTATTTTTATTTTTTTATTTATTTTGCAGATGGTTTTTGATGTACAAATGTGGATATGACTTTTTTTGACAAGTACAAAATGGCACTTTTTTTATATCTCCATTCGTATATATAGTGGTACGTACAAATTAGTTTTTTGGCGTGGTAAATATCCAAAATTTGGCCTGATAGAAATTAGCATTGGACGTGGTACAAATTAGTTTTTGGGGCGGTACAGAATAAATTTTTGGGGTGGTACAGATTTCCTTTTGGATATTAAATTTGGTTAATCCTCAATTATGTATGGAATTAAATTATTGGGGTTGGATTATACTTGGTTCGTATGGAATTTGTATTACATTTAGAATTAGACGTTGAATATAATTTTTTTGGATGGTTGGAAGTGAAATGTGTGCACGTTGTTGAATGGTTGATAATATATTCAGTATTGATGGATTATATTATTTATACAGGGTACAAGTTGCACTAATAATGGATATAGGTGGTTCAGAAATTTAAAAAAAAAAAAATTAATATAGTATTTGCGACTAAATATGTTGGTAGCCAAAAATGTAAGCAAATGTTTTGGCGACCAATAATTTAGTAGCAAAAAATAACCAAATGAATTTTTGCGACCAAACCACATAGTAGCTAAAACAAATCAGAATGAGGGAAGTTTAATTGCCGACTAAATATTTTAGTCACTAAAAACACGACATCTTTTGGTGACTAAAGTGTTTGGTCGCTAAATGTATGTATTCTATTAGCAACTAAAATTTTAGTCTCTAATAGTTTAATTTAGTTTTATGTGAGAACTTTCGGCGACTAATATTTTAGTCGCCAAAAGATACCTTTGTCGACTAACCAAAGTTTAGTAGCCAAAAGTTCAATTTCGGCGACCAATAATTTAGTCACCAAAAGAACACCTTTCCCGACTAACTAAAGTTTTGTAGCCAAATGTTTAACTTTCAGCGACCAAAAAAAGTTTAGTCGCCAATACTAACGCCGACAGGGTATAGGCGATGAACTTGGCGACAAAAAAATTTAGTCGCTAATTAGATTTGGCGACCAAAAATGGGACTTTTGGCCACCAATATTTTGGTCGCCAAAACTGTCATTTCCTATAGTGAAGATTCGCTGGCACAGTCCCAACATAAGGCGGGGTTGATGCAATTGCAGCCACCATACCAGTACTGGTTTGAACATAAGTCTGACCAGTTTTTGTAATCATGAATTCTAAATTATAAAACAAAATTATAATTAGAATTTTATACTACACAAAAAAATTAAACCAAAACTACATAATTAAATTCTGTAAAAATAAAAGAAACAAGAAATGTAACTTTTATTTTTCAATTAATTTGGAAACAAAATAAAATTTTATTTAACCAAATTAATTCCACATAGAAAATTAAATTTTTGTAGCACATCAATAATTAAAATACTGAAATAGAATTTTAATTAATGAACACTCAGAAAATAATTTCTGAAAACCAAAATTAGTTTCTGACAAAATTTCACAAATAAATATTTTGAATTGTTAATGACACCAGTATATTACTACTAGTTGTCAAAGATAATAGACAGTATATTACTACTATTTGTCAAACAGTATATTACTGCTATTTGTTTTCCAACCAGAATATTATTTTGTAAAAATACAGAAATTAATTTCTGTAAGAAGAAGAAAGAAGAAAGGAAACAAACGAAAAATTATGTATAAACAAAATATTTCGAATCTGTCTTAAGATTGTTGGAACAATCTTCTGTGTACAATAAATAAATTGAAACTAAATCAAACAAATAAAATAAATAACTTACAAAATTTATTTTACCAAACCGAATGAAAAATTAAAAGATTAAGTCGAGTGTGTGACACTCTACCCTTAAAACAGATTCACCCCGCTTTGGTGCTTACGGACTTATGGTGTCTATCTCCTAGGATACAATGATCTTCACAAATTGTAGTAGCACTCCAAACAATTTGTTAATTTTCCTAAAAAACTAATATGAAGAATATATGCAACAGAGTAGAAAATTGGACAGCAAAAAAGTAATTTCAAACTGTTTTTCGGATGTCTAGACTTCTGGAACAATGCAAGTATTTATAGGCAAAATGATCTGCCTGAACAAGTTCAATTTTGAACCGAATAAGTGCAAATTTTGAATGAACAGATACAGTCCAAAATTCAACAACTGTGCAGTTTGCATCTGTGTAACTGCAGTAGTTTCTGGCAGTTTAATAACTGTAAAACTAGTTGAATCTGTTAGGAAATTTCAGACTAAAGGAGATAAAAATGGACAGAAAATTAATTCAATTTTTGGCACAAAATTTTAAATTTGATTTCATAAAAAATTGAAATAAATTTTGTCCAAAAAATTAATATAACAACCGACCAGACCCACAACCACGCCCGGTCTGGCCGGTCGGACGACGGCGCCACGCGCGTGTGGTGGTTTGGGCTAAGGTTCACTTTGTCCATAACTCCTCCCTTCTACAAACTTGGGATGCCCCTTGGGGCCTAACCCAAGTTAGTACACCAAGAGCTTATATACATACATAAGTTCTCTTCAACTTTCAATGTGGTACAACCCATTTCAAGGAAACCCACATTTATTTAATTGTCCATTCCACGAACCCGAAAACGACGTCAACTTCCCATTCACTCTTAAATGGTTTTGACGAACCATATTCACCGTGTGACTTGTCACGTGGCAAGGAACGCATCACCTCTTTAGACCCACCTGAAAATACGTTTGGAGCCCACTCAATTTTGGGCTCAAAGATGGCCGAAAATAAGCCTATAAAACCAAATTTTCCAACAGAAATCACCATAAATCCTTTATAATCGACCTAGAATTTCTTAGTTTCCCCAAATTAAATGATTTTAACTATATCGTTTCGGTATTACGTCAAGCTGGCCACAATTGGAACAAGGCAAAGACGAGCATAGTCATCTCAGTAGTCTCAACAACAACACTTATTATGGACCTTGGCATTTCATTGTACATTTCGAAGAAGGGTTGGACAAAGAGAGAAGGTAATAAAAATTAGTCATTAATTCTTCAATATCTCACCTTTGTAGGTGTTCCTGCGTGTACATATACTTATTTTGAACAAATTGCTTCATTTAAATGTTCTTGACACCCGCTTTCTGCAGGAAGAACAATAGATCATCTTGAACAAGTTTACTACAAAGAATCCTAGAATGAAGATATAGAATTACCATTATTCCACTTGGTTACAATCAGTAAAGCTATGGATAACTTTGCAATCAACAATAAGCTTGGAGAGGGCAGATTTGGGTCTGTTTACAAGGTAACAATATTATAGATACACCAAGAGTTTTCAATATCTGAACTTGTTTTAACAAACAAAAATGGTGTAAAATTTTCCAGGGTATGTTGGAAGGGGGACAAGAAATAGCTGTGAAGTTGCTTTCGAAGTATTCCAAGTAAGGAGTTGATGAGTTCAAGAATGAAGTGATTTGTATCGCCAAGCTTCAGCATCAAAATCTTGTAAAGCTTCTAGGATATTGCATTCAAGGAGATGAAAGGATGTTAATATATGAATTCATGCCGAACAATAACTTGGACTCCTTCATTTTCGGTATGGCTTTCTTATACATACTCGAGAAGTTAACTACTAACTAGAAGCTTGGTTTAACTTAGGTGAAAAATTGAACAGATCAATCACAGAAGATGCTACTAGATTGGCCTAAGCACTTCCACATCATTAATGGAATTGCTCGGGGGCCTCTTTATCTTCATCAAGATTCCAGACTGAGAATTATCCATAAAGATATGAAAGGAAGCAATATTCTACTAGATCATAAGATGAACCTAAAAATATCAGACTTTGGCTTAGCCAAAATCTTTGGAGCAAACGAAACGCAAGAAAATACGAGAAGAGTGGTTGGAACATAGTAAGAATCTTCAAACCAATTCAAAATTTTCCTCCTTGAACTGTATAAATTGGTTTATTTGTTCATTTTTTTTCCTGTAGTGGCTACATGTCTCCTGAATATGCAATTGAAGGACTCTTCTTAGTAAAAATTGGTATTAGAAATAGTGAGTGGGAAGAGAAACAGGGATTCTATCACCAAGACCACCACCTCAACCTTCTTAGGCATGTAAGCATAGAGTTTAATAATATAATCTTACAAAAGAAAGTTACAAAATGATGTAGCAATGATATCTCTAAAACTAATTTAGAGCCATTTCAAAGGGTGTTTAATACAAAGGCTCAATTCAACAACGTTATTCTGTATAAAAATTAAAATAATAGCTTAAAAGTGTTTCTAACTGTTTAGGCAAGAGATTATACAAGGAAGATAGAACCAGAGAATTGATTGATGAACCAATACAAAACTCATGTAATCTACCCGAGGTGTTACGTTCGATTCATGTTGGTCTATTGTGTGTGCAACAACGGCCAGAGGATAGGCCTAAAATGGCAAGTGTGGTTCTGATGTTGGGCGGAGAGGGTGCACTGACTCACTCCAAACAACCTGGTTTTTTCACTGAAAGGAATACGCTCAAAACAGAGTCAACAGGAAGCGAGGTTGAACAATGTTCAACCAACATGGTTAGCACAACAGTGGTAGTGTGAGAACCCAAATATGAAAATAAAATGAATAATTAAATAATACTAATTTTACAAATCCCAAATATTTTGCTTGTAAATCTTTAAGTGCAAATTAAATATTGTTAGAAGGTTTTTTAATTAATTTTAAACCTAAAATAAATTCATGGTGAAAGTCTTTAATTTAGAGGTAAGATTTAAAAATAAAAAAAAAAAAATAGAGAAGAGGGTGTGTGACTTGAACTCTAGACCATAAAATTAATAAATAAGGCTCTTACCATTTGAGTTGCATATAACTTATATATACATTTTGTATATTATTTATTTATTCGACCTACACATGCTATAGGTGTACCCAACCACTAGTATTAAATAAAATATACATAAAACCCTACCTTCTTATTTGTTCTTCACAGCATGTGAGAGAGAGAGAGAGAGAGAGAGAGAGAGATGAGAGAAACTTTTGGCAACATTAGTGGTCAACAACTCTAACGTATTGTCCTATTTTATTATATCTATATATTGTGATGGTTCATATGTATAATATGCTTGTTGTTGGGAAGGAATAGGAGAAACGGGTGTGTTGTTTGGGTGCTAAGTCAGTGATTGGTGATGAGAAATTGGGTGTAGTTCTTAATCCAAAAAAAAAACAAATTCTGTACAGAAGCACAAACTTTAAAAATCAAGAAACCATATCAAATGGATGAATTTTGAACTGAAATTTTTAAAGTAGATTAATTACATATTGAATTGCATATCTGAAGTTTCTCATAATTTTTGGGATTCAAAATCTATATTAACTGCT